AAACATTGGGGAAAAACCATCAAAAAAAACCCCCTTCCCCCCCCCCCTTTTTTTTTTTAAACCCCCCCCCTTTTTTGGATTTTTTTGGGGTTTAAAACCCCCACCTTTAATTGGGGGAAAAAAATTTTTTTGGGCCCCGGGGTTGCTTAAAAAAAAACCCCCCCCCCAAAAAAACCCCCCAAAAAAAAAATTTTTTTTGGGAAAAAAACCAAAACCCCCCCCCAAAAAAAAGGGGTTTTTTTTTTTGGGGCCATTTTTTTTGGGGGAAAAAAAAAAACCCCCCCAAAAACCCGGAAAAAAAAAAAGGGGGTTTCCCCCGGGGGGAAAAAAAAGGGGGGAAAAAACCCTTTTTTTTCGGGGGGGGAAAAAAAAACCAAAAAAAAGGGCCCAATGAACCCCCCAAAAAAAAATTTTTCCCCCCTTTTCCCCAAACCTTTTTTAAAAATTTGGGGGAAAAAGGAAAAATTTTTTTAAATTTCTCCCTTTTTTTTTTTTTAAAAAAAAGGGGGCCCCCCCCTTTTTTTCCCCGGGGGCCCCCAAATTTCCCCTTTTTTTTAAAACCCCCCCGGGGGACACCCCCCCGGGCCCCCCCCGGGGGGGGGGGGTTTTTTTTTAAAAAAAATTTTTTTAAGCCCCCCAAAAATTTTTTTTTTTTTGGCCCCCCCCCGGGGGTTTTGGGGGTTTTCGGGGGTTTTTTTTTAAAAACCCCCAAAAAAAAAAAAAAACCCCCGGGGGGGGGGGGAAAAAACCCGGGGCCCCCCCTTGGGCAAAAAAGGGGTTTCCCCCAAAAACCATTTTTAAAAAAATTTTAAGGGAAATTTTTGGGGTTTTTTTAAAAAAAAGGGGTTTTCCCAAAAAAAAAAAAAAATTTTTTTTAAAAAAAAAAAAAAGGGGGCCCCAAAATTGAAAAAAATTTTCCCCAAAAAAAAAGGAAAATTTAAAAAAAAAAAACCCAAAAAAAATTTTTTTTTCCCCTTTTTTTTCCCCCCCCTTTTTAAAAAAATTTTCCCCAAAATTTTAAAAAAAACCTTTTTTTCCGGGGGGGGGCCCCCCCCTTTGGGGGGGTTTTCCCCCCGGGGGGGGTTTTTTAAAAAAAAGAAAATTTTTGGGGGAAAGGGTTTCCTTGGGTTGGGGGGGGCCCCTTAAAAATTTTTTTTGGGGCGGGGGGGGGGGGGCCCCCGGGGGAAAAAAAAAGGGGGGGAAAAAAAAATTTGGGGGAAAAAAATTTTTAAATTTAAAAAAAATTTTTTTTTTAAAAAAATTTTAAAAAAAAAAAAAAATTTTTAAAAAAAAAAAGGGGGAAAAAATTTTCCCCGGGGGAAAGGGGCCCCCTTTCCCCCCCCGGGGGGCCCCCCCCGGGGGGGGCCCCCGGGTTTTTTCCCCCCCGGTTTTTTTTCCCCCCCCCAAAAAAAACCCCCCAAAAATTTTTCCCCCAATTTTTTAAAAATTTAAAAAACAAAAAACCGGGAGAGTAATAATGAGTTTACCCATAGTTTAGTAATTAGGAGTATAAATTATTAAATTATTAAAAATGAATTTCCAAATTCCATAAAGTGGATTAAATGATGCAGAGTTAAAACCAAGCAGCGTTAGGTAATGCAGAGTTATAGCAGCGTCAGGTAATGGACTAACTGTCCAGTAAGCAAGATGGCCACCGGGCCAACACGTGGCTCCGGCGGCGTGACGTCACGGCGTCTTGGCCCCCTTCTGACGCGTTTCGTGCGCATGCACTTCTTCAGAGGCGGTAACCAATGCATTTTTTCTACACTGAACTGTACTGGAACACAGTAAAATGCATCAGGAACGCACATGTTCTTATTTAATTTTGAAGAAAACAAACTAGAACACATCAAAAACGCACCAGGATGCGTCAAAAAGGGACGTATCCGGACTGCATTTTTATGGTGTGAACCGGCCCTCTATGGGGATTTCCTTCAATTTGGAAAGCCTTGCACTTTCTGTTGTGTCTGTAGGATAGGAAATGAAGGGAAATCTCTATGGGACACTGCCAGGGGTTTTAACAATTCCCTACTCCATCCAAATTTAAAATACCGTATTTTCCGGCGTATAAGACGACCCCCTACTTTTCCTGTTAAAATATAGGGTTTGGGCTATACTCGCCGTATAAGACTACCCCTCTTCCAACACACACCAAATAAAAATTAAAAAACATCAGATTTGATTTCAATATGGTATGGTATTTCAGTATGGTATTCCAATGATGGGGCACTATTCCTCCTACTGACACCAATGATGGGGCACGATTCCTCGCTCTGACACCAATGAGGGGGCACGATTCCTCGCTCTGACACCAGTGATGGGGCACTATTCCTCCCACTGACACCAATGATGGGACACTATTCCTCCCACTGACACCAATGATGGGGCACTATTTCTCCCACTGACACTGATGGAGTACTATTCCTCCCACTGACACCAATGATGGGACACTATTCCTCCCACTGACACCAATGATGGAGCCCCATCATTAGTGTCAGTGTGTGAGGAATAGTGTCCCATCATTAGTGTCAGTGGGATTCGAGGGCCCTGCTCTTTCGAGCTTACAATCTAGGAGGGAGGGGATAGTGGTACAGGAGGAAGTGGCTGTGGGGGATGGAGTGGTAGGAGGAGTGGAGGAGATCGGCTGTTAGGTGAGGGTGGGGTAGGCTTCCCTGAAGAGATGGGTTTTCAGGGTGCGCCTGAAGGTGAGGAGGGTATGTGACAGTCTGATGGATTGGGGTAGAGAGTTCCAGAAAATGGGGGAAGTCCTGGAGAAGTCCTGCAGTCGGGCGTGGAAGGTGGAGACCAGGGAGCTAGAAAGTAGGAGGTCTTGTGAGGAGCGAAGATTACGGGTTGGGTGGTATTTGGGTATCAGGTCGGTGAGGTAGTTTGGGGCAGCATTATGAATGGCTTTGTATGTCAATGTTAGTAGTTTGAATTTAATGCGTTGGGCAATCGGAAGCCAGTGGAGGGAATGACAGAGGGGGGAGGCGGATACGGAGCGGTTGGTAAGGTGGATGAGTCTGGCCGCTGAGTTCAGGATAGACTGAAGCGGGGATAGTCTGTGATGAGGTGGGCCGGTGAGAAGGGAGTTGCAGTAGTCCAGATGTGAGATAATGAGGAGTGAACGAGTTGTTTAGTAGTGTCTGGGGTTAGGAACGCACGTATCTTGGAGATGTTGCGGAGGTGGAGCCTGCATGAATTTGCCAGCGATTGGACATGGGGTTGGAAGGACAGGTTTGAGTCCAGGGTGACACCTAGGACTTTGGCTTGCGGGGTGGGATTGATGGTGGCATTGTTGGTCATGATGGAGAGGATGGGGGGGGGGGGGGGCGCGGGGCTGGGAGGAAAACTGGGAGCTCGGTTTTGGAAAGGTTCAGTTTATGGAATGAAACGTGTTTTTGACATCTAGTAACCTCACAATAGGAGATAAAAACCTGTTTAAAAACGTCAGAGTTAGAGATCCTTAAGTCTGGGGGAGATGAGAAGAGGTTTTGGGGTGGATAAGAAGCAAAAGTGTGACTTTTCAGATAACGAATATGGTGGTTGAACGTGACTCTTCCTGTGGTGGGTGTGGCGCCGCGCACTATTTGACAGCTTCCAGAAAATGGGTTTATAAGGCGGAGGTCCAGGCGAGACCAGTAGAAGCCCCCCTTAGTGGCCACAGGACGCTCTGATGTTGGGATTTTTGCCAAGGCTATATGGGCTCATCGGCTGATCGCGCCTATGGCTTCTCCGTGATCCCCGGGGCAGTTTGGTTCCGATGGGATTTGTTCCTCCCAGCTTCGGTAATGTATTAATTCTAGGCTGTGACGCTGTCAAGTGATGCATCTATTTCATGCTGTAATGCTCACATTATTAGTGTGTGTTATTATGCAGATTGTGATGACTATAAGATATATCCTCCTGTGTGTCGTGTGATAATAAAGAGTAATAAAGATTCTGACAGTGCAAGAATATTGCAGTTGGATTCTATTATTTCTTGGAGTGCCGGGTGAATGCTATGATGTACCAGGGCAGGTGTTCATTGGGTAGAGGGTCTTTCACATGCGTAGAATATATAGTGGTTTAAATGCTCGGTTTCACACCGAACGTGAAGGGGGCTTTTTAGTGAACCTGTATTGTACATAATGACCCATACACTGTTAGGGCAGCCCGCTATTAAATATTTACCTTGCTTCCCATTCCAGCGATCCTCACTGTGTGTTCCAGCCCAGCCTCTGCACAGCATTTCTAACCAAGATGTCCCATCTGGCTCGTCTTCATTGTGCACCATTCTTGAATGAGATGCCTTCAGGAATATGGAAGGCTAAATGGCAAAGTAACAGGTTCAGTTTATTACCCGTCTTTGGGGTTGATTTATTAAGGGCAAATAGACTGTGCACTCTGCAGGAGTAGTTGCTCCAGAGCTTAGTAAATGAGTTAAAGCTTCCCTTTGCCAAGAATACCCAATCACATGCAAGGAAAATAAAAAAACTGCATTTTTGCTAGCACATGATTGGATGATGGAAGTCAGCAGAGCTTCTGCTCATTTACTAAGCTCTGGAGCAACTGCACTTTGCAAAATGCACAATTTAATTGCCTTTACTGTAGTAAATCAATCCCTTTGTATCCTTACATATGTTACAGTTTGACTGTCTGGGGGCTGAGCCCTGGGCCCGTTTGTAGTTCTTATAGTAATCACCGACGGCATGTTGGTAATTCCACAGAGTGGGAATCTCTGGAGCTGTGTGAGTAATAGCATACAGAATGACAGTAATGAATATTGCACACAGGAGTCCATGGAATGCAGCGACAACCCACAGAGGTGTTTTTGCATGGCACAGGAGTCTGTTCATTGGGCCAAATGTTGGCACAGGATTTCGTTCATTGGGCTGAATGGCGGCACGTGACTCGTACACTGAGCTGAATGGCGGCACAGGACTCTACTTACTGAGCCGAAATGCAGCATGGGACTCCTTTTGTTGAGCCTAATGGAAACACAGGACTCCGTTCATTGAGCTGAATGTCTATACCAGCCTTTCTCAACCTTTTACCTGTGGGGAACCCTTGAAATAGCTTTCAGGTTTAGAGGAACCCCCTGCTAAACCTACAGCTCATGGTCCATTAGCATGAATACTGCTGCCAGGCTCATCCACCTTACCAACCGTTCAGTGTCTGCTACCCCTCTCTGCCAATCCCTCCACTGGCTTCCATTCAGTGTCCTTCACCTCTCTTTGCCAATCCCTCCACTGGCCTCCATTCAGTGTCCTTCACCTCTCTCTGCCAATCCCTCCACTGGCCTCCATTCAGTGTCCTTCACCCCTCTCTGCCAATCCCTCCACTGACCTCCACTCAGTGTCCTTCACCTCTCTCTGCCAATCCCTCCACTGGCCTCCATTCAGTGTCCTTCACCCCTCTCTGCCAATCCCTCCACTGGCCTCCATTCAGTGTCCTTCACCTCTCTCTGCCAATCCCTCCACTGGCCCCCACTCAGTGTCCTCACCTCTCTCTGCCAATCCTTCCACTGGCCTCCATTCAGTGTCCTTCACCCCTCTCTGCCAATCCCTCAATGGCCTCCATTCAGTGTCCTTCACCTCTCTCCTGCCAATCCCTCCACTTGGCCTCCATTCAGTGTCCTTCACCCCTCTCTGCCAATCCCTCCACTGGCCTCCACTCACTCTCACTCACAAATAAAATTCAAAATACTAACAACAACTTACAAAGCCATCCAAACTCTGCCCCAGGACAGCGACATCACCATCCTATGATCTCAAAATATCAACCAAACCGGCTCTCTTCATTCCGCCAAAGACCTTCTGCTCTCTAGTTCCCGTGTCACCTCCCATGCTCGCCTCAGGACTTCTCCCGAGCTATTCCCATCCTATGGAACTCTCTACCCCAACCTGTCCGGCTGTTGCCTAAATCAATCCACCTTTAGACGATCCCTGAAAACATTTCTCTTTAAAGAAGTCTATCCTGCTTCTACCTAGGGTTTTTCGCATTGTGTGATCATGCATTTAGCAATTTCCTCCATCAGCTCATCCCCCCCCACAGCTATTACCTTTTGTATCACTCAGCCCTTCCTCCTAGATTGTAAGCTCTAACGAGCAGGACCCTCTGTTTTCCTCTTGTACCAAATTGTATTGTAACTGTAATGTCTGCCTTCATTTTGTAAAGCTCTGCGCAAACTGTTGGCGCGATATAAATCCTGTATAATAATAATGTAGCCTATCCACTGTGTATGACCCCAAGGGCAGATCATTTTTTTTACCACCCCCTGCTGTATTCAATACCGTTGTCAGTAATAATCTTGAAATAACAAATTCTGGTGACCCTTTACCATAGTTGATTTTGTGGAAAACTGGCCCCTTGCATTGATGTTTAGTGTAAGGGGGCAATCAGTTTGCCCTTGGCCATTGCTGATGGAATTCTTTGAGTTCCATTTAAACCCCTAGCAGCCTTAGGAGAAACCCTAGGTTCCTACAGAACCTCTAGCAATCTCAGGAGGAACTAGGGTCCCACAGAACCTCTGGAAACCTCAAGCAAACCTCTAGCAACCTCAGTTGGAACCCTAGGGTTCCATGGAACCTGGTGGAGCAAGGCTGGTCTACATGTTGATCTCAGAAGCACCATATGGATAATATCGCCCTAACAGTAGCAGTGACCTCTGCCTCTGAGACCTTTGAATGCAGGAATGTCCTCTGGGACCAATCTGTCCCACTAATCAGTGAATATCTGTAGGAACCAGGGAAGGACAGACTGCAGACAGATGGTGTTAACCAGCCAGTCCATTGTAAACCAATAATTGAATAATTAAAGGCCTTTAGAGAAAAATATTGCCTTCCGTAAACTATATGAAATAATGCCTATAATACAATATTCTGAATATGAATTCCTTTTTTATTCCCTACCTTTATTCATATTCTAGGCCATTTATTCTAGGCCAACCTGTCCAGCAGAATGGCAAAATATAATCCGGTTCAATTTCAGCTTTAAAAATGTACTAATGAAGGTACACTGCATTAATAATCATCTTTTATATGTGTCTGGAGTTCAGTTTTTATATTGTAGGATCTAAAATAGTCACTAGAGCCAATTTACGTAGAAACTGATTGGCTCCCCAGTACTAATATTTATTTATTTCAGGTACTTATATAGTGCTGTCAATGTATGCAGCGCTTTACACCAGGGTGGATTTGATTTAAATCACTAGTCAGTAAGGCTTGATGTAAATCCTAGTTTTCTACATAAAGACTAATTCTTGCTGGTATAACTTTAATATACAAGTAGATGAAGATTTTTAGAATTACAACTTTTCATATTAGTTTTTTTTATCCCCAGTTTAATAGGTTAATCATTCATATTTGGACAACTTTTCTGTTGTACTTAGGAAGGAGAAAAATAATCATTACCTTAATAATAACAATTTAAATAGATTTATTCAACTGAAACAATAACAGCAGATGTGATTTGCTTAAACATTCATGTTTGTTACCTAATTTGGCTAAACAAAATATATATATTTGAAGAAACTTAGACTGTCAGCCCCTCCCCCTCACACTTAGTTTCACTTTCTTCTTGTGCAGATCTATTCCACTGCAAACAATCAGAAAAATATTGTTTCTATTCTATTCACTGAACTTCTTGAAACTTGGCACTGAAGGGGTTGATTCTGTATTCATAGGTTTGTAGAAGTTAGGATGAAGGTCTTTTTCTTAACTCTGTTCATGTTATAACATTTTTGCTGTGAAGAAGAGGCATGTGATCTCTCCGCTGAGTCAAATTCAGTTTTGAGAACTGCAAAAGTAAACCAATCATCTGTGATAATATCTTGTAGGCAGAGAAACTGCCCAATAATCTTATAGAAACCTCTGGAAGAGCCTGACATTGTGAATGGATTCATGGAATTTATTTACCAAACAAATTAAACATATACAGCCTTATTCTACATAATTAAAAAAACTAATCTTTATTTCATGATGGAATAACCTTTGGATGGTAATATATTTTCCTCAAAAAGCATTTTATTTAAAAAAATCCGATTTAAATAAAAAAAATCTGATTTAAATAAACAAAATCGATTTTTTTTGATTTTTTTTAAAAAAATCATTGATTTTTATCCACCCTGCTTTACACATATATATTGTACATTCACATCAGTCCCTAACCCTCAAGGGGCGTACAATCTTAGGTCCCTAACTCACATTCATACATACACATACTAGGGACAATTTAGACAGGAACCAATTCACCTACCAGCCTGTCTTTGGAGTGTGGGAGGAAACCGGAGCACCCGGAGGAAACCCACACAAGTACAGGGAGAACATGTAAACTCCATGCAGGAGGCGCCATGGTCGGGAATCTAACCCATGACCCATTTACTGCAAGCCAGACGTGCTAACCACTAAGTCACTGTGCCGCCCATACTATGAGAGTATAATCGCTTATTCCCTGTGCTGTCCTCACTGCCGACGTCGTAGATTCACAAAGTATTTCTTACCAGGTTTGTATCCTTATCTGGTGCGTCCGATATTTTGCAGGCAGCCAGCGGGCATTCCTAGAGTGTCAGAGGAACACTAAGAAATCTTTTCAGTTGACCTAAAGATGACTAAATACCCAGAATACTTGTAGAGGTGTCCACACATCAATCCAGAGCTCAATATTCCGATCTATAAAGTGCAGGATCTGTGTGAGCTGCTATGCCGAATCAGTGATACAAAACATTTATAAAATGGTCATAAAAAATGATAAAAATAAAATTACTGTTCACATTCCCCATACAAAATGTGTTCTATAACAAAAAACATCAGTCAAGTGCGGCGCTTCACTTCTGATTTAAACCAAAACAACCAACATAAACGTCTTTTAATAAGTGTCCATATACAGGTGTACCTCGGTTTACGAATTCAATGCGTTCTCCGGGACGTTTCGGAAGCTACTAAGCAACTTATTCCCTCCCTGGTTATCTCTCGCCTTGACTATTGTAACTCCCTCTTCATTGGCCGACCTCATCGCAGGCTATCCCCTCTTCAGTCTATCATGAATGCTGCTGCTGCCAGACTCATCCACCTTACTAACCGTTCCATATCTGCCATCCCTCTATGCCAATCCATCCACTGGCCTCCATTAAATGTCCTCTATCCCTCTCTGCCAATCCCACCACTGGCCTCCGCTCAGTGTCCTCCATCCCTCTCTGCCAATCCCTCCACTGACCTCCATTCAGTGTCCTCCACCCCTCTCTGCCAATCCCTCCACTGACCTCCACTCAGTGTCCTCCACCCCTCTCTGCCAATCCCTTCACTGGCCTCCATCCCTCTCTGCCAATCCCTTCACTGGCCTCCATTCAGTATCCTTCTCACCCCTCTCTGCCAGTCCCTCTACTGACCTCTGCTCAGTGTCCTCCATCCCTCTCTGCCAATCCCTCCACTGGCTTCCCATTGCCCAAGGGATAAAACATTAACAATAACATATAAAGCCATTTATAACTCCGCCCCAAATTACATCACCAATCTTGTCTCCAAATATCACCCAAACCGTACTCTCAGCTCCTCCAACAACCTCCTGCTCTCTAGCTCTCTTGTCTCCTCCTCCCATGCTCATCTCCAGGATTTCTCCAGAGCTTCCCCCATCCTCTAGAACTCTCTACCCCAATTTATCAGACTATCGCCCACTCTGCTCACTTTTAGGCGATCTCTGAAAACCGATCTCTTCAGGGTAGCCTATCCTGCCTTCAGCTAATAACGGAACCTTCTACTCCTCCTACCAGTCCATCCCCCACAGTTACTACCCTTTGTACCACTAGCCCCTCCCTCTTAGATTGTAAGCTCCCAGGATCAGGCCCTCCTATCCCTCTTGTATTGAACTGTATTGTTGCTGTATCGTCTCCCGTTCTATTGTAAAGCGCTGTGCAAACTGTTGGCGCCATAAATCCTGTATAATAATAATTTGCAATAAATTTGTAAACCGAAAACGCGGTTTCCCATAGGAATACATTGAGAACCAATTAATCTGTTCTGGAGGTCAGAAAGAAGTAAAAAAAAAAGCTGCTGTCACTATAGGTCAGTGCCGGTTTTTAAATGTAATTTTTTTTCTTCTCTATAGCTCAGAGAATCAGCTGTCACTTTCCCCCCTAAAAGAAACAAAGGTAAAATTAAAAGAAACAATGTTTCCTTTTAGTTTCTTTCCCAAGATAAAAGAAACAAAAAAGTTTCCTTTAGCTTTGGGGAAATGACAGCTAATTCTGTGAGCTTTAGTGAAGAAAAAAAAAATGGCAATTGCATTTAAAATCGGCACCGACATACACTTCATATTGCGAAAACAATTTGTAAACCGAGGCATTATTTTAAACCGTGGATTTTCATAAATTTGTATAATAATAATAATTGCAAAAATTACAAACATTTATTGATAAAACAATATCCAATATTCCACTCACATGTATGATGTATAATATCGTGTCTTATAGAGCAGCTCCAAAAAGGCACTGTTACTGATATGGATCCTCAAACCGCTAATCTGCAGCCAGCTGTACGGCACTCTCCTATCCTACGTGCGTCATGACGTCAAAGCCCCTCCCCTTTGAGGATAGCTAGGACAGAGGAGGAGACTCATGCTCATCGGACATCATACATTAGTCCATATAAGGGACACACGCTATGTATGACCTCACTTAGCGGTTTGGTCATATACACCAGCTGAGAACATCCGGTGGAGGTGTACACACATTGGTTTGCAGTGTATAATCGCACGAGGGGTTTCAAGAAGGTATTTGTAATTCTAGCATCTGTGATAATTCTAGCATTCTATATCTGCATCATATAGAATATCAATATATGGGCACTTATGAGGCTAGGTTCACATCTGCGTGGGTGGTGCGGCTGTGGATCCACACGGAAACCCGTGCAGCCGCACCAACCGCACAGAGGAATGCGGACCCGCAGGCTGGTGCCATTAGTTCTAATGGCACGCCGCCCGCACTGGAAAACGCAGCCGTAGTGGGAACCAAGGTTCCTGTGCGCGCTGCGTTTTCCAAAGAAATGCAGGGACTTCTTTCCTGCGTGTCACGGTGCACGGGAGTCCATTCAAATGAATGAGCTCATGTGCCCGGAGGGCCGCATATATTTGAACCAGGGCTTGAAAGACGTTTATGTTGGTTGTTTTGATGTAAATCAGAAGTGAAGCGCGACACTTGATTAATGTTCAATATTCTGATTGTTCCTGTGAAGAATCCATCTGCCTATGCTCATCTAGCCACCTTCGATTAATTAGGTAAAGGCAACTGATACCTGTCATGGGCGTCTGGCAGCCCTCAGGACCTAACTCTCCATTCCCCACACGTCTCCCACCATATTGCTGTGACATTATGCTACCTCCTGGACTCTACCATAGCGCTACCTTGTGGACTGTTTCTTCTTCTGGACTGTTTCTTCTTCTTGTGTCATATCGCTACTTTGTGGACTGTTTCTTCTTGTGGACTGTTTCTTCTTGTGTGTCATATCGCTACCTTGTGGACTGTTTCTTCTTGTGGACTGTTTCTTCTTGCTGTGTCATATCGCTACCTTGTGGACTGTTTCTTCTTGTTGTGTCATATCGCTACCTTGTGGACTGTTTCTTCCTGTGGACTGTTTCTTCTTGTGGACTGTTTCTTCTTGTGGACTGTTTCTCCTTGTGGACTGTTTCTTCTTGTGGACTGTTTCTTCTTGTGGACTGTTTCTCCTTGTGGACTGTTTCTTCTTGTGGACTGTTTCTCTTGTGGACTGTTTCTTCTTGTGGACTGTTTCTCCTTGTGGACTGTTTCTTCTTGTGGACTGTTTCTTCTTGTGGACTGTTTCTTCTTGTGGACTGTTTCTTCTTGTGGACTGTTTCTTCTTGTGGACTGTTTCTCTTGTGGACTGTTTTTCTTCTTGTGGACTGTTTCTCCTTGTGGACTGTTTCTTCTTGTGGACTGTTTCTCCTTGTGGACTGTATCTTCTTGTGGACTGTTTCTTCTTGTTGTGTCATATTGCTACCTTGTGGACTGTTTCTTCTTGTGGACTGTTTATTCTTGTTGCCCATCATATCGCTACCTTGTGGACTGTTTCTTCTTGCTGTGTCATATCGCTACCTTGTGGACTTTTTCTTCTTGTGTCATATCGCTACTTTGTGGACTGTTTCTTCTTGTGGACTGTTTCTTCTTGTGGACTGTTTCTCCTTGTGGACTGTTTCTTCTTGTGGACTGTTTCTTCTTGTGGACTGTTTCTTCTGGTGGACTGTTTCTCCTTGTGGACTGTTTCTTCTTGCTGTGTCATATCGCTACCTTGTGGACTGTTTCTTCTTGTTGTGTCATATCGCTACTTTGTGGACTGTTTCTTCTTGTGGACTGTTTCTTCTTGTGGACTGTTTCTTCTTGTGGACTGTTTCTCCTTGTGGACTGTTTCTTCTTGTGGACTGTTTCTTCTTGTGGACTGTTTCTTCTTGTGGACTGTTTCTCCTTGTGGACTGTTTCTCCTTGTGGACTGTTTCTTCTTGTGGACTGTTTCTCCTTGTGGACTATTTCTTCTTGTTGCCTCATATTGCTACCTTGTGGACTGTGTCAGGGATCTCCTCGATCCCCGCCGCGTTGGGCCCGGCGCAGGCGCACTGCTCCACCCAGTACACGGGCACTAGGTCCGGGCCGGCCGCGGCGTTCGAGTTCGCGCTTCTTGCATGCGCAGTAGAAGCCGCGGCCCCCACGCCCGCTGGGCACCAATGGCAGCGCAGGGCGGGATATTTAAAGGTCCCTGAGCTGTCATTTCGTTGCCTTCTGGTCTTACCTGCTTCCTGTGTTCCTGTACCTGTGCCTAGTAAGTTATTGACCCGGATTACTCTTGACCTTGCTGATTTCTCCTGCCCAGACCCTTGCTTGCCTGACCTCTCTCCCTGGATGCCCCTTATTAGATCTGACCTCCTGTTGCTGACCTGGCGTGTGACCCGACGATTCCCTGCCTGCTCCCTTGTACCTTACCGTCCTCTACATTACCGACTCGGCCTGTCTGACTACGCACTTGCTCAGCCATCCATCCATCCATCCCATCGGGGTCACCCGACCTCCTCACATCTGGCTCTCCCTGGTTGGAACCCCTGGCGAACACCACTACCACTGACCGGTGTGCTCAGTAGAGGCGACCTGGTCTCGGGGTACTACAAGTCCATCCCCACCATCAGGGGCTCTGGTGAACAAGTACCCTGGGGCTTAGACTCTCCGCACTCTGGGCGCGCCTGACCAGTGGAGTGCCAGTGGTGCCGCTCGGCGGTCCCTCACAGACTGTTTCTTCTTGTTGTGTCATATTGCTACCTTGTGGACTGTTTCTTCTTGTGGACTGTTTCTTCTTGCTGTGTCATATCGCTACCTTGTGGACTGTTTCTTCTTGTGTCATATCGCTACCTTGTGGACTGTTTCTTCTTGTGTCATATCGCTACCTTGTGGACTGTTTCTTCTTGTGGACTATTTCTTCTTGTGGACTGTTTCTCCTTGTGGACTGTTTCCCCCTTGTGGACTGTTTCTCCTTGTGGACTGTTTCTTCTTGTGGACTGTTTTCTCCTTGTGGACTGTTTCTTCTTGTTGTGTCATATCGCTACCTTGTGGACTGTTTCTTCTTGTTGTTTCATATCGCTACTTTGTGGACTGTTTCTTCTTGTGGACTGTTTCTTCTTGTGGACTGTTTCTCCTTTTGGACTGTTTCTTCTTGTGGACTGTTTCTCCTTGAGGACTGTTTCTTCTTGTGGACTGTTTCTCCTTGTGGACTGTTTTCTTCTTGTGCTGTGTCATATCACTACCATGTGGACTGTTTCTCCTTGTGGACTGTTTCTCCTTGTGGACTGTATCTTCTTGTGGAATGTTTCTTCTTTTGCTTGTGGACTGTTTCTTCTTTTGCCTCATATCGCTACCTTGTGGACTGTTTCTCCTTGTTGACTGTTTCTTCTTGTTGTGTCATATTGCTACTTTGTGGACTGTTTCTTCTTGTGGACTGTTTCTTCTTGTGCCTCATATCGCTACCTTGTGGATTGTTTCTTCTTGTTGTGTCATATTGCTACCTTGTGGACTGTTTCTCCTTGTGGACTGTTTCTTCTTGTGGACTGTTTCTTCTTGTGGACTGTTTCTCCTTGTGGACTGTTTCTTCTTGTGGACTGTTTCTTCTGGTGGACTGTTTCTCCTTGTGGACTGTTTCTTCTTGCTGTGTCATATCGCTACCTTGTGGACTGTTTCTTCTTGTTGTGTCATATCGCTACCTTGTGGACTGTTTCTTCTTG